CAAATAAATAAATAGACAAATAAATAAATAAATAAATAAATAAATAAAACCAATTCTGAGCTATTTCAAGGGATTACTAAGATCTTTTAGCAATTATTGCTTGTTTTTCCATTATAAATATACTTAATTTGTTATGCATTAAACAAATACAAAATTTTTTGTGTTACTTAGTAAGCTTTTTACTCTGAGAAACGGTCATGTATCGCTATTTTATATTGTATAATTTGATTGAAGAAATTTTCAAAAATTTGAATATTTACAATTTTCTAAAAGTAAGAATTTTTAGAAAATTGTAAATATTCAAAATTTTTCTACAAAAACTTTGCTAATAAAAATGAAAAATTTGACTGATTGTATATTGTATATTCAAATTATTATTTAAATTACTTGCAGCTTAAATCACACAAATTACAGTATTATTTAAGTATTCGTAATCCAAATAATTTAAAAATTTGAGCTATGATTTTTAAATTTTAGATGTTATTTTATTATTTCCAAATTGAAATAAAGGTTTTAACAAAAAAAATTTTTCTGCAACTGCATAATAAGTTACTTTTCATTTTTGTGTAATAAGCTAATCCTTATTTGCTTGATTCCCTTGACTAATAAGTATAAACTAATGCAAATATAAAAGTTAAATTTAGGTAATCACTTCCATTTGCATATTTAAATTATCTTAATTACAGCTTGTTTTGGCAAAAAACAAATGCTATTTAAGTTAGCTTTAATTAATGTTTGTCATTTTTCAACTAATTTAAAAAAAATATTATTATTATTATTATTATTAAAAGGTCTGAATAATTTCATTATTATGCTTTGCAAAACTTTGTAATACATAAATTACATTCAAAATAGTTAAATAACAAAATGATTAACTATTCAACTTGTATTCAAAACATAAATTTTGTAGAAAAGTACAAATCGACATCTAGTCCTTATTTCAGAATTTCTGGTACCAAATTATATATCTAAATATGCTATAGTAGAGATTTTTCGCCTTCCTAATTTCTTGAAGAGTAAATCCGAGAAAGCCATCAGAATGCAAGTTAGATAATTAATTACCTGTGACCCTTATAAAAGCATATTAATGTTGCTGACTATCCAACTTGTATTTTAATATGTAAGCTAACTTTTTAAGAAATAAAATGTTTTAAAATAAGCTATCTTTTTCTATGATTTTGTTCAGATGATCAACGTTTGCAACAATAACAACTTCTTGAACATCAAATAATAAATATAATTTTATGTTCTTATTGTCTATCTTTTCTGATAAAAATAAGCTTGGAAAAATTAAAAATACCAGAAAGATCAATAAAGCCTTCAACATAACCTTTAACACCAACATGATTTATTTATCAGAAATAAGTTACTGATTTGCAATTTTATCCAAATTCAAAATTAAACTTGAAAATACCCGCTCAATCAATTCCGTTCGAGAATCTTTCACCTACTGGTCATCCGCTGTTGCTGCATTGGCATGTTGGAGAGACTGTGGCAGACATATAGCACAATTTTTTCATTACTAATATGTAATTTATGCATAATTTCGGTTATTATTTGCTTGTTTTTTTCATTTTTACAAAAATTATTGCCAATTTTCCATTTTTCTGCAAAAATTTTTGATTACTTTTTCGTTGGCATTACTTTTATTGCAATTATTACTTGCAATTTTACCTTTTTCTTACTAATTGTAATGCCAAAACTTTCAATTTTACAATTACTAAAAGTTTAAGTCTCCTTTCTTTTAATTATTCGAAAACGACTGGCATCACGTGCTAATTAATTATATCTCAAACCTTAATTACCGTTGGAAATTGTAATTATGAACTGATAAAGCTGATCAGAAACATTGTATTCTGTGTAAAAATAATAAAATTAAGTAGTTAGAGATGGATATAAGTGAAAGTATATTATAATTATAATTATAATTAGAAGTAATGGTAACTTCATTTTACTTGTATGTGAAAGTAGTACGATTAAGCGATTATTAAAAATGAACATTTATACACTCGTTATATTTTGACGTGAAGAAAGTACGCTGGTATGATTACGCATAGAATAGTTACAATTATGATTATAACTGCTAAATGTACTACTTTATAACTACATTACAGTGCACTGCTCACATTATAGATCTTTCGTAGACAGCAGTCACATCATCTCAAGATAAATTGGCACTACTAGTGTGGTATTACAGAATTGCATCCAGTTAGTGCCAGGCAAGTCAGGAACGTGGAGATACCTCACAGCACCTCCATTTTGGTAAATTTTTGTCTGAATATTACAAAGTATTTGTAATGAATTTACATGCATTCGTTTTCATATTAAAATTTTCACTACGTTTTTTGCATGATTTACTCATATAAATCCTTGAAATTTCGCTTGTACTGAAAGGAAAAATTTAGGTTGTAGTTAGGACGAAGAGGTAGCAGACATTAAGTAAAGCATCGCTAAAGAATCAGCTTCCATGGATAAAAGTTCGTTCACTTTTTCAACTATTACATATGGTAAATTTCGATATTATGTACAGAGAATAAATGTAGGATGATGCCGAGATTCATCTGTTTATTTATCGCGGAGCTCACTGCATTGTTGTAGTGCCAGTGATTTGAACTTTGATATTGCGTCATTATCATAGCATTTCCCATAAGCTTCTGCTGTAGTATAAAAAGGTTTAAGTAGTATCAGTAATAAAATAATTATTAAATCTTGCTTAATAAATAATACAAAATTTAGGTCCTTATTACAATTAAGTTTGACACATATAATGGCAAGTGCTACTTCGTTAAACACATTTTCAAGCGGAAATAACAAATATCAAAGGATTTCAAGGATTTTCGATAAAGTAGTCGAACCTGATAAAACAGTGCATGAAGATCGAGTCTGCGTCTCTGATAATATAAATGATTATGGTAGCACAGACGATGTTAACCGGTAGTTTATAAACTCAAGTTATTTTCGTAAAAGTTTGAGCAAGAAACCAAACTTGATAATTATCAGTGTTGTTTAGCCTGTAAATTTATCAACGGTGCATTTAATATCAAGACTACCTTATTTACAGAGGAATGTTAAGGTTTATTCATTTCATGCGCTTAATTTCTGAGTTAATTTACATCACGAACATTCAAGGAAAAGTAATCCAAATGCATACCCTGGACGCTACGTTATCGCCAATCCAAATAATGCGGAACAAAAAATGACACTTCCGCGTACTGTAAGTGCTTAATCTATGGAACTTGCTATGTTAAGAATTTATAAGTTGTTGTTGCATTATATAGTATTTTTCTACGATTAAATGAGTAGAGTAGTTATTGTATGTGGGAAATTGTTCAGGTACTATAATATATTGCTTTAGTCGCAGTATTAATAATTTTCTAGTTTCAAGACCTACTTGACCTGTAATTATTTGAAATTTGTGTCAAATCTTGAATATCCTTCAATGTAACACTTTTTTATTAGCAATCATTTGTAGTTTACCCCATCACCAAGTGTTTCGGGACGATCATCACCAGCATGTCATCCAATACCTCCTCATTCACGTATCGCTAATATACGTCGAGAAAGTAATAACTCGATTGAAAATGAACTCGCTCATGAAAGGCTAATGCAATTTGCCCAACAGGTTACTATCATAGTAAATTTTTTGATGATGCAGACTATATAGTATTTATTTTTCTCTGAGTCATTCATCTTTGTTTCATGTTATACTTGTTTTATCTTTATCTTATAAATTTTATGTGTTTAGGTATCGGTAAAATTCAATGAGTTCAGTATTGGAAGTACTAGAGAACGGAAAAGAACACATTCGCTTTCAGAACCCATTTCTGTTTTAACAAATGCTTTTATTCCACACAGTTGTTCGCCATCACCGACTCGTTCAGTTGATTTACAAAAGGTTATTTGTTCAAACAATGCGTGATCATGGTTGGAAGATCAAATAACTAATAATTTTGAATGTGGCATTTTTTAACTTTTGCTGTCATATAAGACGAAAATTTTAAGCAGTACTCTATTGATTAGTTTTGTTGATCAAAACAATATAATCGTGTATTAATTTAGTTCATAAGCTTTGAAATCATAACTTCTTTGTCAGTTGCATTCATGATTATTTTATCAAATTGTGAAGTTTTCCAGCAGTACTATTCCCCTTCAACGCAACAAGTTGTTCGTAATATCGCTTATTCTCCGAGTCCAAGCCCTACGCCTAGTCCAACAAGACATACATTGCGGTATAGTTTACGTTAATTTCATTCCATTCTAAAACAAAATTGGAATCACCGTAACTGTGACAGTTGCATTTCATGGTTTACTATTTACAGAAGTATTAGTCCAATAGCCGTTCGTCAGGTCACGAAACGTCGATATCATAGTTCAAGTGGTTGTGAATTAAATCCTGATCAGTGTACAACCGGGTTAATTTGTGATTGTTTTTTAAACTGTGATCATAATTCAGTAATAATGTCCGCTATTTGCAGGATATATTCACGAAATTTGCAGGATAAAGAAAGTTTCTTCATTATTTATTCTTCTCTAAATTTCAAGAATTTTTTGCCGTAATTAATTTGTCCACTTTTCAGTGCAACATCAGCTAAACGGGCATACCAGCAATCTGCTGTTTCATCTCGTGGTTGCGTTTCTCCTCTTGCTTCAGAAAATGTATCAAGTATTTCAGAGTCAGCCACGTAAGTAATGATTTTTTTTTGATATAGTTGCTTCCAGTTTTATTTGGCTTTATCTAGCTAAAAGAGGTGCTAGAAAAGTTAAGGTAATTATTAGTTGTATATATTGCTAGTTCTTGTTTTTTGGATAAAGGAAGCATTTTAAGGAATAACAAAAGAAAGCTGATTCTCTGAATAGTGTTTTTTCGTTGCAGGTGTATTTTATTAATTTTTTAAGCTACAAGAGATTTCCTCACTTTAAATTTAATTAATCTTTTAAAGTAAATCTGGAGAACTGTCAAATGCGTTTCCTTTGCGCTTCTCACGTCGTCTTTTGGTAGATCCAGCAATTAGCGTGAAATTGTCTTCCGAATCGTCAATGGAAACAGACGATGATAGTGATTCGCTTAGGGAACAAAAGACAAACATAGTATCATCTGAGGTGCAGTTAGTAAACTTATCATTTTTTCCGTAGTTTTCATGTATATTTTTTTCACAATGCAGTTCAGTCATTGAAATTTTTGATTAAATGAATGTTTTTTGATTCTTTGCATTATATTTTCTTCTTAACAATAAATCATCAATCGAAAGAAAAGAAGAAGCATTTTTTTTGGAAAAAATTATTTTAACAGTTGTTTTATATTCAAAACTGTGTTTATATATTTTTCAGCAATCAGTTGAAATAAATGATGATGTAGAAAGAAAGAAGTGTAAATGATTCACTTCAGGATTGAACAAAGAGTGTATTCGGTATATCATTTACGTTTATCTGTTTAATTTGCTTTTTGTATCAATGCTTTTTCACTTGATAAAGTCCTTCATGCAGTGTTTGGTTTCCACTGTTCAAATTTATTTTGATATTGTTTTCATCGTTCTTTGTTTTTATTTCAAGTTCATCACGATCCGGATATCTTATGATATGGATGTAATTTTTTTTAACCACTTTATTGTTGGTGATATAAAATCTATTTGAATTCATTGTTTAAGATATTCAAAAGTGTTCGTCGCTTGATATCGTTGTCATTATGTGCGATATTAATTGTAGAGCAACATATTAGTCTGCTCATATTTTATGGGTTTGTTGTGTGTTTTTTATTTTTTTTAGTAAAATTCGAAACTGCGTTTCAGTCCTTCCACTTGCTTTTATAAGACTGAGATCTGATTAAAGATTATTGTTATCATTAAAATTCTTACCGGTACTTGATGATAAATTTTAAAGTAATTATTAGTTGTACATGGTACCGGTTCTTGTTTTTTTTAGATGGAGGAAGCACATTGGTCTTTCAGGATTAATTAATGAAGGTGATTTTGGTGGTGAGAAATTGATCACCTTTCTTTGTGAAGTGGTTTTTCATTTTGCTTATATTTATTCACTTTAATGTTTTATAGCATATTAATCTTCGGGTTTATTATAGTTACTAATTTTTATTATACTGCAGGGCAGTTGAGTTTCGTCGAATCTTTGTCAAAGTTTGAAACAACTAGTTTCTTCTGTAGCTATCATTATAGAATATACTTGTCTCAAAGTATTGTTGGTTATTATTCATTTTATTGATCCGATAAAGTTCTGGTGCTCATTAGATTCGTGAATAACCTTGCGGTGTTATCTTTTACTTTGAATTTGTTGTTCAATGAATAAGTTATTCAGATTCTTTGAAGTTATTTGAATTTTCTGTTTAATTACTATTACTAATCAAGTTTGATAGTCGTCAACTGGGGTGTACTTATTCCGTGTAAATACAAGATATAGTTATCAATTCGTAATATTAGTGAAGTTAGGTCATTCACTTCATCTTAATACTAATTTTTGTTATTT